GTCTTCGCGGTTATGTGAATTGGAAAATCCAGACCACAAAGTAGATGAAATTGGATTTGCAGGAGCGTAGATTGAGAGGATTGGGAGTCAACAAAGTTGTAGGACATCGACAGTTAAGTAAAATGGTTAGTTCTTTCATATCCGGTTTGGAAGAGACTAAGGAGATCAAGAGTTAGAGCTTGTAGCAATTCCTCATAGAATAGGAGTAAACAAGAACTCTATGGGTGGCAATTGTGTGGCAATTGCTGCATTTGTGGACGTCGCACTTGATGGTGGCTTGCAGCTAACGGGTGATGACTCTTGGTGTTTGTTGTGAATAAAGAGTCACAAGGCTCTACTTTCGGGGGACTTTTGCATGAGTCAGTTTTCAATCTTAAGTCTGCATTCCTCCGCATGTTTGTAAGTTGTGCGTTTGGTCACAATGCAAGAATTGCTTTGGTTTGTCGCAGATACCGCATGTGAAGTAGAATATCAACTTGGGTGTTTTGAGTGGTGCATAGTGTAGCTCAGATCTTAAGCAAACCTGTAGATTGGTTGCTCGGTGCAGCCCGCTTATTGTGTAATCTTCAAAAGTTTCCCCCTTGAATATCAAGTGCAGATTTGCTTGTGACATCTGTGGTGTTTATTGGATGAATTTCAGGATTTGGATGTGATTACACCCTGCATTTGGTTCACCTTCAGATCAACATTTCTATATGCTTCTAGGAGTAACATGTGCCTGAGAAGTAAAATCCGTCAATAGAATGTTAAACGTGACAGTATTTGAATCTCTGGTATTGTTTCTGTCCTCGTGGTATCAGATCTCTACCATTATGTTCCATTTTGGTATTTATCCCTTGTTACATCGTGAGATAAAATTCATGAGAGCATTTCCATAGAGATAATTGAGATATGGATTTTGTGGATAGTTTGGTGGAGCATTTAACATATACAATTTTGTTTCTTCTTTTGGGTTATGATATATGTTATGCTAGAAAATGTCATTCTTTTCAGCGTTAATAATCAATGGGCAATGTTGATGTCTCAATATTATTAGCATGCAAGTTAATTTGGCTATTACGTGGTATGGATTGTAATCATGTCAATAAATCAATTACATCCTAACATTTGGTCACACACATGTCATATCTCATATATGTTAGAAGGTTACTCATATATTTATTAACTTTTGTTAATCTATCCAATGAATGTTATTGACCTACCACTATAAAAGAGCTAATAGGAGTTTTCAGTAAAACATTATTTTTTTCCCTGGTACGAAATCCAAAGGTATGAATCACATATCCTGGTGTGTGCTTGTGTCATGTACATAAAATTGAGTCCCTTCAACATCAACTTGATGCACTGAAGTGTGAGAGGTACCCAACCGCAATTTTGATGCCCTTATGCTCACATGGGAAAACTTGTGTGCTATCCATGTATGAGCACATGTGTGAGAACAAAACTCACTTTCTGTTGACCATCTTTGACAAGACACTTTCTTGTCATACACATCTTGTCGTAGATCTCTTATGTCTACTAATATACATCAGCATTGATGGAAAGGCACCATCACTTTCTAAGCTTTTGGAGAATCTCATGGTGTTACAGTTATTTTGAGGGAATTACAAAACTGAAGATCCTGCAGAGTGACTACTGCAAAGACATCTAGCTGACGAAATGATGCGTCGATGAAATGAGAATTCTAAGTACCACTGTAGAGACCTGCCACATCTCGATCCACAATACGAAAGGAGAGGTGTCAATTTTAAATGTAGACGAGCTTAGCACAAACAGCTATTGACATAGATTGTACGAATGAAATCGGTCCAATCTGCATGACACAAGGAGCTAGTGCAGTAAGACTGTCTTGAGTGGTTTGCAGCTCCGTGCCGGACTGATGAAGAGTATATTTCCCATTTTGACAGCAGCACAATGATCACGTACATCCACAAGCTGGCCCACTATTGTACAAGGCAAAATCTTTCGCAAAACTGACAGTTGTGGCCAATTTTACAAAGGCTTTAAAAATTACAAAGTAATGCAGAGGATCCAGTGAAGTCTTTTGGGTTTCAACATGTAGTTTAAAGAGCTTCAAAAGGGTTTATAAATGTGTCCAAAAAAATTCAAGCAGGAACTAGTTGATAAAATAATGACTATCACTGCATCCATATATGGCTACTAAATTATAATAGAGATACACATTGTGGAGATAAAAAAAATTTAATCATTCATCGACACTGAAGGCTATACAGAGCCAGAACTATCAAACAAGAAAAAGTGATCATGCGATGTGATGTGTCAAAACTTGCTCACTTCATGAACAACTAACAAGTCTTATCTCTCTTTCTTTGTTCAAATTTCTGACAAAGTCTACCTCTCCCCTACAAACTAATCATCTTCCTCTGAATTGTCTGCTAGTTTCTAAGTTGAACGTTGGTAGATATACACTTCATCTCATCCGTAATGCTGAAAATGATCACGTAGAAATCATTGTAGATACTACAATGATTTCTTTGTAGAAATTTGAACAAATAAAGAGAAATAAAACTCGTCCATTGTTCATGACGTGAGGAAGTTTTTGACACATCACTTCGCATTATCACTTTTTATTCGTTTGATAGTTTTGGCGAGTATAGTCTTCAGTGTTGATGAATGATTGAATTTTTTTATCTCCACAACATAAATCTCTATTAATTTTTAGTAGAGGTATATCGATGCAGTGATGGCGCAAGAAAGAAATTTCGATATGTTCTCAGACATGTTTGTCTTCCGAAGATTAATTATCATCCTCGATTCCAGACATCATTCCAAAGAGTCCAAGAAACTATGGTTTTCATGACTACAAATTAGCACAATACCAAGTGCTATTGACATTGTAGGAGACTGGTTAATCTAAATCTCGATCAGACCCAGTAGCCAGCACCGAAGTTGACTATTACAATAAAAACATAAATCTGGGCAAGTAGATAATATTACAATCAGTTCTTTACTAGGCTTAGACCTGGATGACTAAAGAGAAAAATCTGAGTTTGTTAATATGAAGTACAGTGAAAACGGAATCCGTCGAATAAGAAGTGTAACATTTCTGCAGGATGGATGGTAGATCGAATCCTAATGAAACAAGTTCCCAAATGTTGTCAAGTCCTTTAGGTTGATGGAGGTCAACGTTCTTAGATCACGCTTTAATTCGTGCATTCTAAACACATCAATTTAAGAAGAAGTAAAACATGACATCGTAGCAACCAGTTGCAATAGTTTGGTCAAAAGTCATCGAAAAGCAAAATCCCCGAAGCAAAATCCTGTAATCGATTGCAAGGGTGCGGAGTTTCAGGTCAGATGCACTACTTGCAACACAGCCGTGCATATGATTCATCTGAAAAATTTAGATGTGTTCAAGAAGCGCGATCAGCTATGCAAGATAGCAAGCAAGATGATCTGTCACTCAGGAATATGTCTTCACTTTTATGTGGGTGAATGTTTGGAGCCAACGTCAGGATCTTTCGCTTGCCGACATTGGTGATGAATGAAATGACATCAACCACACAAAGAAATGAAACAATAAGAGACAAAGAGAAATATTGTAGATCCAGCCCGCAGTTAAGATGTACTTTCAATGATGGCTTTTCTTCTAGAAAAGTGGTAAACTAATGGACCATACATTTTGCAAAGGGCAACGGGAATTCGGGTCTCAGATTTTGAATAAGTGGATCTTACCTTTTTGGATGAATAGTGCACTCCAGATCTGAAAAGATACAAGCTAAAGAAAGTAAAAGCGACTTAACCGAGTACTGTCCATACATTTCTCGTAAAAAGGGAACAATTATTTCCATCTTGGTACAGTAGACGAAATTCAAACACATGCATTCGCGCCAAACAACATTGTTTTGGTAGCAACCACTTCACGAACTTGAATTGAATTCATAACTTTCAACTTTTAATTTACTACTTGTTTTCTGAACAAGAATATGTGACGCATCACCCAAAGTCATTGGTATTCTGAGTTTGACAGGGACAAGTGTTTGAACAAGACTATAATATCAGTCTAGTGCTTGTCTTTTTGTTTTAGTAGCATTAAATTGCCCATCTTCTGATGGGCAAAAGGATCAAAAAAGGATTCGGATTTTGAAAAGCGCCGCTGCCGGGGATCGAACCCGGATCACCCGCGTGACAGGCGGGAATACTTACCACTATACTACAACGACTTGATGACACATGTTTCAGGTTTAACATTTTCTTATTAAACATAAATATAGGTCCTCAGATTAAAATATCCGGTGTCGCACTCCTGTATGTGAAGTATTATCACGGAGCTCTGGTCATGGTATGAGGGATTCAAGGATTGATAGTTTCTCTTCACTTCTCAGGCACTTATGGGTTACAACACGTTCGACACGAAATAATTTAGGAAATTTGGTACAACGAAGGTAGACATTTTTCGACCTGTTAACTTTCAGAGAAAGCCTGCGAGCATGAAAATCGCAGATCACCACACGCACTGCAAGCACAGGAACAACAGACTTTGAGTAGCTGTCAGACAGGTTTGTCTGACAGATCTCGTACTGTACAGTACTTCAGTTGAAACATTGTGTAGAATTGAAAGCAGGACTTACAGTACCTGCTCATGAGCTCTTGGAACAGTCAGGAAAAGTTGAAGCGAAGTTACTACTAGACAAGCCAGGTAGGTGACATAACTTACTTTCGACATATACTTCAACTAACATACATCGTCAAGGTTCATCCAACGAGATATCCGTCCTGCCATAATCCGAAACAGCTAATTATCACAAGGCTGATGAGTTCCAAGTTTCTTTGACGAGCGACAAATTCCTTCTAAATAACGAAGAGGTGTCTTCCCACATCTACCGTCAGATCAGTGATTTTCCAATGTACAATTCAGTTCTTCAAGTTCAGGGTGATCATTCCCTCTTCGGAGACGAGCAGTAGAACTTCGTTACGAGAAAAAATAGAAATGATGCTAGAAACCCGGAGTATAGTAAAGATACAGGCGCATGGACAGACAGAAACTGGAGATAAGAAGTTGCTATAACTTGACAAAGGAAGGTTACATTGTAGGATGGAATCTCGTAGAATATCCGACTATCAAGCTTCAATGAGTCAGTAAAGGGTAACTGGTCATCCCGAAAGCACAATCTTTATAAACTAGAAACTCTACATTTTAATACGTGTACTTGGGATTTTAAAATATGTTACAGATACACCTGAGCCTATGGGCGTAAGATACACATTTAGATCGCCCTGCTCCTTTCAAATTTCGTGTATACAGTACTAACACTATGAGTGAACTTGGGCACCTAATGGCCGCGAGAATGGACTACAGTTCTAAGTCCGTAAGAATGACCCTTTTAACATGGAGCCCAATTTTGTACAAAGAACTTCTCCTCAGCGTTCATGAGACTTCTTCGCAGTTCCATTCTCTAGCTCCTTGTGAGAGAAGGCTCTGGGTCCGGCCAATTGAGAAGAAGCGATGGAGAAAACGTCGTCAGATTCACTTCCATCGTTGTCCCCGGGCTGTGCGTCCTCGGTCGATTTCAGGTGATACCAATCGAACTTGTACTCGTACCAGTAGGCAACACCTAAGAAGAGCAAGAAGTCCACGGCTAGGACCACTGCCAAGAACCAGTAAAATTTTTCCAGGCCTCCATTGTTCAACTGTCCTTTGAGCCATGCTCCTTTCTGAGACAACACGCAAACAGTTTCATCAGTAGATTTCTTTACACTCGAAATAATACTGCGAAGCGAATGAAACCTTCCTCCCGTTCAAGCTTTAAAACAACGTCACCCGGAGCTATAAGAGATTATCTATTCTGTGAGAGGTAGGACGATTCTCTGTGCGTTATATATGCACATGTAAGACGTTCCAAACACATAAATGTTCAATTACCCAAACCTCGCAACTCCATGACTCTGTAACCTATACTGGAACGTCAACGAAATGAAATATTTGGCTGAAGCCTTGGAGTGAAAAATTACACTAGCTCACAGAGGCTTCGGGTTATTCCGACACAGCTGAATCTGATGTGGAGGCCAAGTTTTTCTATAGACGAAATCTTGAGGTAAAGGATGTGGTTTCTCGTTACGACGCAAGCCACTCAATTCGATCCTACGATGAGAATTCGTGGCTTTCTGTAATAGCTTTATCTGACAGCGGTAAATTCAGCCATGAAAAATAGCACATCCAACACCAGTATCTGGAGTACTCCAGATACCTTCGCTTCTGCAACTGAGAACTGCAAAATAGAAAGTACAAGCGGATCTGCTCGGAAGAAAGCTGATCATTTCACCAAGCTGACAACTCAATCAAAAGTTCACATGAACATTCAACAAGAAGGTGCGGAACTCACTCCTTGATGGAAATTGAAGTCAGAGGAAAGTTGATAATTCTCACATCCGTCAATACTGAGTTCCAAGTTGGCATCCAACGGAGACTATAGGAATATCAAGACAATCAGCTCCACCACAGCAGGACCACCCCATACGAAAAGAGAGGTTAAGGTAAGCCCATAAACCACATGGGCTGTACTCATCGATCGACAGATAACAGTCCAGATCTTGCATCTGCGATCATTCTAGTGGACGAAAGTTGGTTAAAACGAAAGATGGAGGCCAAAATCAATGAGTTTGCAACTGTGTGTCAGAAGGGCACTGATGAATAGAAACAATCGATTCAGTTCAACCGAAACCGACCTTATGTTAGTAGCATCCTGCATTGATTCCTCCCTCATACTGCAATTACCAGCAAGATAATAATTGCGTGTCAACGAAGCAAGAAGCAAGAAGCAAGAAATTCAACATAAAAGAGTAGTGTAGGGAAACACTCCACGATCTCCTCCTTCACGTGTACAGAGCTCTCTTCCAAATGATGATAAATGCATCAGGAATAGTTTGAAATTTTTCACATGCAGGTTCAAACTTCGACGCCCAATGGCTGTCCTTGATTTAAGAGACAAACAAAGTTTCAAGGGTGGACAGTGATTCGTCACATAAGAGACAACAAGTTACACGAGACACAAAGGATTGATAGCATAAGGGAGTTCGATCGACGACGACTAATGGCGTATACGCGTACATAGGAACAATTTCGAACAGAGTTTCCACTTACAACCTTGAGGGAACTCAATGGAAGGATGGACAAGACAACTTACAAAACTCGGGAAAAACAAGTATGAAAGAGAGTATCAGAACAGTGAGTAGAAGCCAGCAACAAACTCGCCCATTATCCAGTACCCATATTCTTGGTGGCCACTCCATACAAGGTGTAACTACGACGCTTCAAGGCATGCTAACAATCAGTCGAGTTGCAAGAGACCCTCCACTCGTCAAAGAAGACCGATATCCAGGCAGGATCACTTAAGACATCTGAAAGACCACTTACGGCACTCACAGATATTGTGAAAACAAGCACATGAAATCACCCCACGACACCTACTACATTTTTCCGAACAAGCATGGTCAGGTACAGCCAAGATAAACGTAGCAGACAGAAGCCGCATTTACAAACACGGTGGACACTACTAGCAGCAGCAGCAGACGTTCTCTCTGCACCTCAGCCTCACACAGCTCACTTTCCAATCTCACGTCACGTCAAAGTCAGCCACAACAATGACAAACTCAAACCCACCAACATAGAAAATAAACTCTGTTGTTCCTGGAAAACAACGAAGGCCTCGACTGGCATAAGGGGTACAGCCGCATTAGAGGCTCTCACAGGTCAAGGTTAGTAGTTGGCATTGAGGTTTGACCACCTCCAGACTTTATCCACTGAGGAATAGCTCTCAAAGCCTACTTTGTGCCCTCACGACACATAACGATAAGCAACACAATTACGATTATGAGCTAGAAACCTGCGTGCAGAAAACCTTTCGTGCATATCTTTGAGATGAACCGGGACTGTTGAGGAGTAAAAGCTTAGGATGAGAGAATCCTCAGAGCTAATTGCCAGGAGCTATAATAACAGGCGTCTAGACCACACGAGAGCAAAAATGACACAAATTGGCGGTGTAACCTTGAGGAATCTACGATCTTCCGGGGAAATTTGGTCTGTACATAGGACTGGTGCCTGATCAAGTAAGAACGCTTGGAATACTCAAATACCCAGCTATCTATCTAACCGAAGGAATGGTCGGTTATGCAAACAGCAACGCTCGTTTTATCAACAAAAGCTCAGGAGCATAGAGTGGTTCACACTTCCCCACAAGAGTCTTCACAGCAAAAGTGGATTCTGGCAAGCGTCTCGGAATACAAAGCAGTACATAATGTAAGTGCAGGATGCTTACCGACTCTCCCTTGGTGACCGCGTTGACAATATCCGAAAGTACAGTGGTGAGATAGTAACCCATAGCCGAAGCGGAGTAGGTGAAGGAACTGCTGATACTTCTGGTGTGGTCCGAAGCTTCGTAGTAGTAAAATTCGTACGAGGCAACGAACAGAAACAGTTCCAATTGAGCAGCGAGGAAAAACTGAGGCAGCAGCCACCACATCTTCATGGGCAGAACGAAAGATCCGAGTGGCATGTTTTCCAATCCCAGATCCCTGACGTAAGTCAGTCTCTTCCTCTCCACGAGGGCCGAGACGATCATGGTTAGCATGGCCAGCACAATTGACATTCCCAGCCGCTGGAGTGTACTTAAACCGTATGGATGCTTGGTATACCTGCGGGCCAAGGGGACCAAAAGCTTGTCGTATATTGGGACTGTAATCATGGCAAACAAAACGATGGCAGTGGTGAGAGATGGAGCTGGAATTTCGAAATGCGGGGTCAGCTTTCGATCGAAAGTAAGGCCCTGTGAGATCGTGTACGTCTGGAGCTGTGAAAACACCAGAGACACGGCGGCCGTCGTCGCCCAGACGGGAATCAAATGAATAATTCGCTTGGTTTCTTCCACCTGCGATATGCTGCATAGGCGCCAGGGGCTGTGCGTGTCTGGTCCTGAAGCATCTTTCTCGATGATTGCAGCTCTGTCAAGCCATCTGCATTCGAATTCCATCCAACCGACGTCACCAAACTGAAGTAAGAACAGGATTCCCGAACACATATCAGAGCAAAATACTCCAATTGTTCCTAGAGCTAAACGTAGGCGCCTCCGAGTCCACTAGAATGAAGCTGGAAGCAGAGTACTAGTATTCAATGAACGATTGCTCCATCCATAGTACGCTTGCACAGAAAATGTGCCATTGATGTTCCGAAGGTTGGTTACTCAGGCTCAGAAATAATTACCTCAATTTGGGTGTATGCTCCAGCTTTCTACTTCCAAGAAGTGGAGCATTGTAAAGTTGCTTGTCCTCTGAGGGAACGACGGCATTTCGCTTCCGGAAAGAGGCAACCAGCACTTGGAAGACGCGAGTGACGAAGCTTCCAGCTGGAGCCTTGTGCCTGAACTTGGGAGTTCCGATCACGAAGATGCTGATGCAGAGAACAAGAAACATAAGGTTGAACCCAAAACCCCATCCCCTGCTCACGTGCTCCTGAAGGTACACTGATATGGTGAAGGCCAGAAGCAATCCAATGTTGGTAGCGAAGTAGAACCATACGTAGAAGTGCACACTCTGCTTCTTTTCCTTCTTCGACGTGTCATCGAATTGATCAGCACCGAACGATACGAGATTCGCTCTCACTGCTCCGATCCCCACAGCAATCGTGTACAGAGCCACGTACAGTGGTGCCATATACTTGGTTCCAGCTTGTTCGCAGACGGTGGGTGGAATTGGAATGCAAGTCTTCGGCCTCAAATCTGAATATGAGACGGTGAATGTCAAGAGCCCCATTCCCTGAAATTCAGAGCAGTAGCTGTCAGCATTATTCAACAGATTCGCTTATGCAAAATACAAATCACTATAAGCACATGCAGGACTGAAAGGAACGACCCAGATAGGCGCTAATTCTCTGCACATAATTAATTTACATGTCTATAGGTAAAAAATTAGGTTAATTTGTGTTTGTCTCCTTATGGTTGTAGTATACATATCACGGATACTAGACAGCAGGAAAAGATGGAGTTCCTCTACGCAATGATCGAGGTTTTGCGATCCGGTTGGTCTTGTAATATGACGTCAGAACTGTTGACGTGTTCATCGGTTAGGGACCATTAAAGCTCAAAGACCCTCAGAAGGACCTACGACCGAAGGACACGAGACATTTGTGGGCCCGGGCAACACGGTGAAGCCCACAACGCTTTACTCGTGACCACACTTGAAGTCTTCGTTAGTCTTGCCGTGACTGAATGTTGAAAGACCATACAGAAAGGGGTCTTAGCCATAGCTGTATAACTGGATACATGGAAAAGGAGAAACAGAGGCGGCCTGTGGAGTCTCCTGGTGTAGATGTTTGCTGGTCGTAAAGATCGAAACAACAAAATCATCATGAGTGCAGAAAATTGGAAAATTGGCGTACGAGGCGTTACCGCAGACAGAATGACGCTGCCTGCAGTGATCGTCCAGTACACTCCTAAGTAGCTGTCAGCGATGAAAGCTCCGACGACGGTGAGAAGCAAGCACGTTCCGGCAAAATTATTCCCCGTCTGCGCTGCTTCATTGATGGGCATGTGCATGACTCCGACCAGCAGAGGTATAAGATTGACGACGGTCGAAATCATCGCCTGAAACTCTCCCGCGTTCAAGGCTGCACACACAAACCAGTCCACAGCGAATTACACTCTGAAAATTTGCAGACCTTTCCAAAAAAATTCAATGCAAAGGGAGTTCTCCGATGTGAAATATCCAAGGCAGTCTGAGGAGCCAGAATGGGCTGAGACTGCATATCCCGCTGCTTCGACTTCGATAACGGGACCTTCAAGCCTCGTACAAAGTCGACAAATTGACCTCAGACAAAGTCGACCTTCAACTACAACAATGAGATTGCAACATCTCCTTGATTTACTGAGAAAATTTTTGATGTAATGTCCAGACTGTCAAGAACTTCAGTTTAGATCTTAATCGTACCGTAGATTTGAAACGCAGCTTTCCAAGTTCCAGTTCGGGACTTGTCCACCGGGCGCCCCCGGAGGTCGATCGCTCCGTATCTCTCCATCATACTCATTTCCTTCTCTTCTCTCAGTCTCGATTCCACGTCTGGTGAGACGAGAGACTCCACTCGAGCCTGCGGTGCACCACAACATGTGTGACATTTCTCTCAACACCAGATACTTGTACTCAGCATTTACACAATGACTGCTGCTACGTCAGCTTCGCTACCTCACTTATCGTACTGCTCAATTATAAAACACGTCTTCCACCAGCTGCACACTAAACACAATCGTTCTCTGCTCGCAGTCTCGTCAATTAGAGCTGTCCCGTTCTACTCTTCCGAAACGGTTCACCCGTGAATCGACCAAATGTAGAGTCGACACTCGAGTGATGACCGTACAGAAGATCGAGATTAGTCAGCTCAGCTCAGCTAAGTTCATGTCTATACAACGGAGACTGAGAAATCTGTAGAGTCGACACTCGAGTGATGACCGTACAGAAGATGAGAATAGTCAGCTCAGCACAGCAAAGTCGATGTCTATACAACGAAGACTAAGAAATCTGTCAGTGGGTACATGAGTCCAGTCACGGTGAAATTACTGTTTTGGAAAAACTGGTCGGCACTTGACATTTCTATGAACAGAATCAAACACGGCTGATTCGGTATGTGGGGACGATTGCTGCAGCATCGGGCTCCGTGACAACACGGCGAGAAAAAAAAGTGCGACTAGCCCTTGAAGGGATCAGTACTCACCATTGCGAAGATTTTAGATTCCGATGTAAATTTTGGAGGCCAAAACTCAGAGCAGCACCCAAGCTCGATTTTACATCTCGCAGGCACGTCCTCTGCAGATCTGCGGCAGTCCGGAGTGCCTCACAGGTCTCGTTTTCACTCCGTAACGAGGACTTGCTGAGTTAGACTGTGATCGACAACTTCTTTTCTTCACGTTCAGATGGACCACCGGAACGGACCAGATTGAGCTCGGGTCTTATGCGCCTGGAGTTAATGAGATCTGAATCCAATAGTGAGACGTGTGAGGTTTTGGTGCTTTCACCAGCTCAGTATGAAAAGTGTGTGAGCCGAAAAAGTCTGTCGATAACTTTTCCAGTCTCGGAGCGCTGTTCGCAGGGCTCAAAATTATAAGTCCAGAATAGTATTTTGTAATACATCCATCAATTTGGGCTCATGCTCCAGTTTGAGCGTCGTCGTCAATCATGAGCTCTTCAGCCTCAATCTCAGCCCAGTCCAACGGCCTAGATTGAGACGTCGGGCAAGAATCGTAGGTTATTCCTGCTCCGCGCAGCTTTCAAGTGTTTCAATATATGATTGGCGCACAGACAGAACGAAGTGAGACTCATTTATTATGAGCGGGCAGGACAGACTGTCGAGCGTCTGGTCTACTTATGACACTGGAAGGTAGCGATCCTGTCAATTAAGCCAGGCCTGACAAGTGGCTCAGTGGGTCTACCGAAGAAGGTTGCGAGATCTCCCGACGGTACTGCTTCAACCGATTTTCCAATTTGGCAACAACTCTCGTGGCGCTGTGATGTCCGTGGCTGTCGAACTAGAGACAAGTCTATCTTGGCGATCGAGTCAAACAGAAGGAACGGCAGAAAAAAGGACCACGGCTGCAGCTGCAGCTGCGCTTTGTGTTTTCAGGCATTTGGTCTGCAAGATCTGAGGGCTTCATAAGATGACAAACTCAAAACAATGACAAGAAACTCAAACTCTTTCCCATTCTCAAGTCAAGTGTTGCATCGATGATTGACACCACTGCGCACTCTGGAGCAGCTTTCTCCTTTTTCCCCACATCCGACTGTATCCAGTCCTCCACGTACTGTATCAGGATTTCCATCAACTATGCACTCGTTGCCGTAGATTATAAGGACAAAGTACTCCTCCTCAAGGCAGCACCTCAGGAGTTACCTCCCTTGCCGCACTTACGAACGCTTTTCATTCATCTCTGGAGATCTCTGGAGTTTTGTTGACCAAGAATTGCACATATCAAGACTTCAGCATGTAAATTTCACTAAAATCTTGGTAACTGTCATTACCTAACAATTTGCACTTAATATGGATTAACGAGGGTGAGCCGAGCATTCCATTACTCACGCGTGCAAATGAATGCACTTGCACTGGGAAAGTTGTAATGACCTTGGGGCGGAAATAAGGGGTGAGCAGCAGTTATTGGAAATATGACATTAGCCCGTGTATTCTCCTGGGATTCACATTCACGGGTAAATATAATAATGCACTCATGCACTCAAATGCTACAATTGAGTCTAGCAAAACACGACCTCAGAATCCTGGGTGCCAAAAGGCCAGAAGGGAAAGAAAGGTTGAACCCATAGAGTACCCTCTACAAAGACAGCCATAACCGATATGTGCTTAGAGTGGAAGCAGCAATGGAGGACGGCCATCAAATCGTTGACATTGTCCAAAAGCCTTATCCCGATTAAAAGTATCGTTAGTTTACTTGTACGGCTGGGGTGAAGGGTTCGTCCCATCTTTTTTATATCCAATTGGGCCCTTCGGTGGATTGATAATACATAGCGGTCAATATAAATATCACACATAATGATCACAGGATCAATAACGAGCTCCCTTCGGAATGGGCTCATGCATGGAGGAAGTATGTATGAATGCATGGAGGAAGTTTAACCTTCATTTTGTGCACTTTGCCAAGATTCTTGTCTGACCTATTGACCTTTTTGTTTGATCCTTTTACGACTCTACACTTTTCTACTCAGTGTTTTTCATGAACATATGGCTTACGGTTTATAACATAACTTTAAATAAAATAACTACGCATTAATCACTTTATTCCGTCGACTATTCTTTTTGGTTGTATCCATTTTTCAAAATAGTTTTTATCAAATACAAATAAATATAATGTATGACGGTATGTGAAGCTGATAATCCCACTCAAGTGGTTAAGAAATGTCGTGTGCATGAAGAATTATTGCTCATTGCGAAGCGAGTGGAGGGAGGTAACCTCATGCTACCGTTTGTTTGAATCCTCGTACACATTTAACAGGAGGGGGCGATATAATATACGAAAAAGGATGGCACCGTCTCCTATATTGTATTGCAATATTAGTCGGTTCCCGATTTTCGATAACAACGATTGGGAAGACTTATAATAAAGGAACGAGAAACTTATTCGAATCGATAGCTTAGGCCGGCAAATGCGTTAGATGACCAGACTGCTTACAGACCTCAAACTGTTTCGTGGCTGTCAGACTGAGCAGAGTTTGGGAGGCCGCGATAAGGACAGAGGAAATGGGCGAACTGCTTGCAGGTCGCGACCAAACGATGCCACTCTTGACTGCAGATCTTATATTCAGGAAATCCGATTTGCCGAGGGTCGTTTGCTGCTGTCGCTTGTGTCAGCTTTGGGTCTGAAATATACCCAAATCGCACATTCATTTGGCGAAACAACAGACATCGTTCGTACTGCTGCACATCGACGACGAGGTAAACGTGAACAAAAACCCGAACCATGAGACAACAAACAGACCTCCCAGGTTGCCGTCGACTTTCTTCCAGCTGCAAGCAATAATTCTTCCTTGCCCACCCACCATCTGATTCGCTCTAGCATTTGGTTGTTAGCACGTCGAGGTTCAGACTGCTGGAAACATTCTGTTTCTTAGAGTTCAACGCTTCTCAAATTCTGAGCTTCAGTCAATAGTTCTGGCACTGACGATGTGACTGGTTTACTCGGTTCTCTTTGTGTGATTGTGTCATGATGAAGCAGCCTGCATGGATGTTTTGAAGGATTTAAGCCTTGGAATTTATGTGTTATATTTGAGGTTTTCAAAATATTAAAAGGAATTTATTACTACTGTTTGTTATGATATACGTGGAACATCAAATAATGACACCTAACACTTTAATAATATATTGGAAAAATCTAGATTTTTTCTAAAAGATTTTTTCCTTTCTTTTCAATCCACAAAATTAAAACTATAAATGAGATAGTTTCTGCAACAAAACAAGCCGCAAACGCTTGTCTAGTACTAGGTCTTAAGTAAATTCAAAAACTTTATTCACTGATATTTGAGAATAGTGTATATGAGGAATAGAGAAATTGTATTCAAGGATTGGAAAAGGTCACAGCATGAAGCCAAGGCCATTTAAATAGAAACTTACTTTTAACGTACACAAGAAATGTATAAAGAGTACTTCTTAATACTATGTTCATCACATTACTCTTTATGTTAAATAATAAATTCACAAGAAAAAGTATAATGTTCATAAAATGTAAAATTCACAACAATAAATAAAAATGAATACAGCACAATCTTGATATTCACATGTTGCTTTATTTTTATATTTGATTTCAACATAGTGCATATATATATATATATATATATATATCTTATTAGAAGTCTGCTTTCGGAGATGAAATTAGTCTCTTCTGCAAATTTTTAATCTCAATACTAATTTTTTAATCAAAATCTTCCAATAATATGGTTAAAAAACGAGGAAAGAAAATAAAATAAGTTTTCAAACTCATTAAATGAACTTTTATTTGGTGTAAAAGAACTATTATATCTTGTACATATTCATCGTCATATATTACTACTTTCTTATGTGCATACTTCAGTTCAAATTTATTCTTCAAATAATTGCTCAATTATACTAGCTAACATCAATCAATATATATATATATATATATATATATATTTGAATGACAAAAGAGTAAACTTCACATTTCATTTCTAATTTTGAAAAGATTTGATATTGTAAAATTAAACATTTTCAAATTTTTTGAAACAAATAATAATTTGATTTGGAATTATTACACTGATTTTTTTGTTATAAAAATTCATTCGAAATTAATTATTGAACTTTATTATCAAAAAAATGCAACTTTTTCAGTATTGTGATCTATGGATTATATTTTGATGAATTAAATTCATAATTTAATTCATAATATTATATTATACTGAGAATGTGTGAAAAATTTTACATGTATAAAGCATAATTAAAAAAGTGTAGTAGAGATAAAAGTAAAGCAATATTGTTCATACTCTAAATTTCTTAAAAATTTTCTAAAAGTGTATAATTTGAGCTACTATATCATTTGATCACATCAAAAAATGATATATTCAAAATTAATTGAAATTTATGTAGATTGCTAAATATTAAATTATTAATTTATGAAATTAATTGACTAAGATTGCTGGAAAGATGGAGATTTGATTCAAGTTTTTACATATATCACAAGTCTTAAATAGCAAAAAAATATCAAAGTATTAACACAAGTTAAATTTAATCTTTCTAATCTAAGCAAAGACATGAAAATATCATCCACACAAGAATACTCAGAGATTTTGTGTAGTATCATTTTTTACACACAAGATTGGGATGAATATTTGAAGATTAGGCTAACATTACTCTTAGCACTATCAAGTCTTTGAACCAGAAAGAATATATGGGTCTTAGACACCATCATTCAGAGAATTATCGTGATTCGGTCCACTTAGGATTTGGTGGTGGAAAGCAATCTTGTACACATGATAGCTGGGACCAAAAGTATAATGGTATGCTGAAATATTTTGACAAGATCCGGTTTGCTTGAATATTGACTTCACAACGCAATAAAAGCACATTTCGGGCAATTTCTTACGGCCAAAGGTCAAGAATTTTGAAATATAGTTACTACGGGCCAAAAAACTTATCACTATTTGAAAAATATTATATTGCTGGAAGACATTAGAACAACACTATGGACAAACGTAATTGAAAGAAGATATTGATAAGAGGTTGTAGAGAGATGTTTGCAAAGATGTTAAGTATAAAAAACTTCTTGCTTCAAGTAAATGAGTTTGAAACATCCACGCCTTTCCGTTGTAAGAGAGCAGGTTCTAACAATTCTAGCATGATGATGATGTAATCATCAATCGTATCTTGCTTGAGTTTATGTTAGAAAGCTTGAGCTGCAACAATGTGTGTATCAATAATTTTCTTTGTTGAATATGATGTTTTGGAGCCTAACCACTTGATGCATAGAACACACTATCTAGAAGTTTGACACAACATTGATGAAACGTCTCTCAAACCCACATTGATATAAGCATATTTCTTTTCTGTTGCACTATCATTTTGTCTTTAAATTTTTTGTATTTGAAATATTGACTGAAGAATCCAAGCACACGAGAGCCTCATGAAAATTTGTTGTACGTATGATATTGTGGTAATTTTGCAAGCACAAGTTGGTAATTGTCTGCACAATCGGAGCTGTAAAAATTATATCAAGTTAACCATGTATTATGTTCATATTATAAATCCTCTCACATGCTTGTAAATGTCAATGTGAAAAGTTTGTGTAAGAAGATGTTTAAATTACGGGGAAGTTGAAAATCCCTTACCATATGAAACCAAAATGAGTTTTCACAAAGCCATTTGAGATAAACTTAAGTGAGAGTCAGCCTTGAGATCACATTTCAGAATGAAAGATCGATGTTTCTCCAGCTCTCGGACACCAAATGGCACTCGTTAGAAGTTCCACTTCTCTCACGAACGCACCGTCACTCATCGTTCATCTCTCGTACAGTAATTTGCACATCGTTTGCTCAAGCTCGTAGCTTGAGCTAGCGATCAAGTTTGTAGTTTGCACTCTCAACTATTGCTTGCTCAAGTTCGCGCTTGCAACACTTGGTTGTTGCTGCTGCTTCCATTGCCGTCAATGATGAGAACGAT